GCCGCGTGGGGGCGGGGGGCGGGGGGCGAGCGCTGCTCCCCATTCCGGCCTCATGCGTGTCTTGCTTTCTCCGCCCTCACAGAACCACACGATGAGCCAGCACGCACAGTGAGGGACCGCGCGACAGGACACCTCTCCGCAGAAGGCTTGCCGGAGACGCCGTGGGGAGGGCCATTTGAACATTACATCCAATCAAAGTGTCATTTGCAACCCAGATGTAAAACTCTAATGATTTGGCCATGAGGCGCTGCTATTATAAGCAGCTGGAAATGAATATTAATGGCAGAGATTAAAAGTATTCCATGCTCAGTATTTTTTATTGTCCTGCTACAGCTAGTGTGCTTTTAGAGTTTCTGCCGCAGACTACATTTCTAGAGTTAGAGAAACCCGCTTTTTGAGGCTATTGTCCTTTGTTCCTTCATGTATTATATTGATAGTTTTTAAAAAAAGGATTAGTGTGATTTTTTTTCCCCTTCGCTTCTTTCTATTTTTTTTTTTTTCTTCTTGTTTTTCTTTTCCCCCTTCGGTTAACTACTTTTTAATTGCAATTCTAGGTAATTGTGCATCGTGACGTGATTGCTCGGCTATTGTCTGAATATTTCCTTTTAATTTTTTAATTAAAGACTAATGCTTTGATTGGATTTGCCAGTTCACCGGACAGTGATTAAAACTATGTAATGAATATAATCGGTTTCAGTGCAACTGGATGGTCTGCTTTTAAATGTGACTTAATCTGACTGCAGTAACTAGTACAGTTCAATAAAGGGGATCCATGCGATTAGCATCTGGCTGCCTGGTTCTCTCCTCCCCCGCCTGGGGCTGTCAGGGCTTTTGTCGTCACTCATGAGGTGTGTCCTCTGTGAGTTCCATGGGATTGCACGGGCCCCCGGGGACCAGCGCACGGCAGACCCAGCTTCCCTTGGAAAAGACGCGTGGTGACCTAGTGCTCGCTCACAGTCTGGATGAGCTGGCAGTGGTCACAGAAGTCAGAGCAGAGGGAATCCTTGACGGTGAAATATTCTGGTCTTCTCTTACGGACATGGGGACTGAGGCCCAAGGGTAAGTGGGCAGCTTTTCCAAGGCCACAGAGAAGGTTGTGGCTCATGCTTATCCACTCTGTTTCTCGTTCTTCCCCGTGGAATGGCTCTCCCGCGTGCTGGATGCACGGGGCACGTGGTTAACCTCGGCGCACCAGGGCCCCAGGCACTCCCGGATTCTGGTTGTGGCCAGGGCATGGGGACATGGCAGGAGCTGGGGGCCACAGGTTCCCCTCATCACAGACACCGGCGGGTGCGGCAGTGCAGAGACATCTGGCCACGTCCGTCCGGGACTCGGGTGGGGCGAGGGAGTCCCCCGGGGCGAAAGGCCCAACGGGTCCCGGTGCACTTGCAGGCCCTGAGGACGGCCCCGGCTCCTGACGCTTCACACTGTCGGTGCCTTGCTTTCCCCGGGTCCTCCTGGCCCTGTTGGTGCCGCAGAGCCCGCCCGGCAGCCCTGGCGTCCCACGGGGCCGGCCTCCCACACCCCCAGCGTGCTGGTGCTCGGCCTACTTGCCAGTCAGGGGCCGGGGCTTCAGACTCGCGCGGGAAAGCCCTTCCTTGTTAACTTTTCACAAGGGGCAAGAAAATTGGTTATTACCCTCTGCAGAGCGGAAATGAAACAGGCAGACAGATTGCACCTAATTACAATGTAATACGAAGTCACGGGCGCGGAATTTGGAGCAATTATACCCAGCGTCTTCTGGTTCCCATATCCAGGGGCTTCTGGTGACCTCTAAGAGTTCCGCTTTCTGCCATTTCGTGTGACATTCTCACACGGGTGGGGTGTTCCGTTTTTTCAAAAAGCATTTCACACCCCAAAATCATAGGGTGGGCTCCTGCCAGTGTTGGACAGAGGGAGCAGTTGCCCTACAAGTCTTGCCTCCCAGAAGCCGAAGGCAGTGAACTCTGCCTTTTAGCCCCCCAGAGATACGGCCGTTTTAGGGGAAGATCTCAGGGTCGGCATCAGTGTTCCTCAGAGCATGGCTGTAACTGGGTTTAGGCCGCCCCGCGTCCAGGCCTGCCCTGGACAGCGCCGAGACTGGGGACAGGACCAGCATGTCCCAAGCTTCCCAGATCGCTATCTCTGGGCCCCCTCCAGCCCAGATTTATCCCGAACCCCGTGGAGCCCAGGTGAGTCCTCAGTAAGTACCAATAGAAGATTTGATTTGGCGGTTGGTGGCGTAGGGCTAAATTAGTCGCTGCCCCCATTAAAAATACAGCGGGGGGTTTAAGAGCTTTTCACGCCATGTGGGAATCAGCAGCGAAGCTGGCGGATGCCTTGGGTAAGGAGAGAGGCGGCCTAGGGGACGGCGAGGTAATGAGGTTTACGGCATGGCAAGGCAGCCAGGGAACCCCGTCGACCCCCCCTCGCTCGGCCCCATTGTTCTCGGGCTGGCTCTGCCCCCGCCCCTTCCACTGGGAGCCCCTCGTGACTTCCTGCGGGGAGGGGGTCGTGAGGGGGACGTGAAGGCCCTTACTGGGACTGCATTTGTCACCGTCAGGCAGTATTGGGGGTGGGGGTCGTGTGGGGCTAGAAACCTGTGCTTTGAAGACCCCCCCCCCACTTCCTTCCAGTCAAAAAGATTTGGAGCTGGGATGGGCTACTTTCCTGCTCAGTTCTAAGGGACCGTGGACAGTCACTAGAAGGCGTATACAAAATGATGCCTCTGGAAGGGCTGAAGGCCGGAAGCGGCATGCTCATCGTGAGGCGGACAGTGAAGCCGGGCCTCCCTTGCAGCCGGAGGGTATGATGGAGTCAGGACAGGGAAGTGGGGAGTAGCGAGGTGACTCCTGGGAGCCTAAGGCTCAGTGTGGCTGTGTTTTGCCCACACGGTCAGTTTCTAATGGCTCTGTGGGTAGAAGAATTTTGCCCAGGCTGAGAAATGGACCAGACCCCTGGGCCACGGGCCCCTGTCATTGGGTATCTGCCTAGAGATTCCGGAAGCCAGCGACAAGGGTTTTGGTCTCGATGGAGAAGCTGCCATAGGAAGAAGCTTCTCAAGTCCCTCCTGGCCGTAGGTGATGCTCGACTCTCCACCTGCTCGGTTAGTCCCCAGAGTGTGCGTTCTTGGGGGCGGGATCCGCACCTATGGGTGTTCAGTAAAGAGGACCACGACCTCCATCCACTCGTTCATGCATCCCACAGATGTTTACTGAGCTGATGCTGTGTGCCAGGCACCACACAGGTGCCAGGGATAGGAAGATGGACAGGCGAATTGGTCGGTGCCTGCTCTCCCAGGGCTCACGGTCCCGTGACAACCGCCTATGAACGAGCATGCCGGTACATACCTCGCGGTCACGCGCGGTCAGAGGCGCTATGATAAGAGAGGACGAGATGAATGGGGGGCCGTTAGAGGCAGGGGTGCATCCAGGGGGGTGCTGCCGAGCAGGTGGCCTGAGACCCGGAGAACAAAAGGAGGGAGGCGGGGAACTGCCCCGAGTCGGAAGTGAGATGCACGGGTCCTTGGGGATCGTTAGTCGTGCTGGGTTTCCACATCCGGTGGCTTCAAAGAAGCCAAGGGAAGTTCAGGGGCTTGGCCAAGGTCACGCCATTCGGGATAGAGCTGAAACGGGAATTTGGGCTTCTTGCCTTTCAGCTTTGGGTGACCCCGCTCTGTGACCATCTGCTATTCGTCGAAGGGCAAACTGATTAAATAGCGATCACTATTATCAATAAAATGACATTGTGCTGTGTAGGAAAGACTGCTGGGTCCCCTTTTCTTTAATAAATAACTCAGATTTTTATTGTGCGCATGTTACTTTGGAGAGGGGAAGGTTCAGATGATATACCCTATCCTTACTAAAAGTTAGGCGTGGCCATATTACTATCGGCTATCCTGGTTCTGTCAGTGGGAAATAGATAGAAATAGCTATAAATAGGGATGCGCAAATTCGAAGAACTGCCTTTAAAGAGAAGAAGTGAACACATCCCTTCCCCTCCCTGATGGCAGGAATGTGGATGCAACAGCTGGAGCTCCCGAAGCCATTTTGAGCCATGAGGTAATCTGGGAACGGAAACCACACACGGGTGGAAAAACAACCTAGAAGGAGCCTGTGCCTCCAACAGCACCAAATGCACACTAGCTCTGCCTGTTCCCCGACAACTTTGTGAACCCGAGAGAAAAAGAAACTCTTTATTATTATTATTCAGGTTTTTCTGTTGGAGTTGAACCAATTCTTAACTAGGACAAATTAAAATATATACACAGATGGCTTCCAAGTACGAGCAAATTAGAAGAATCAGAGAAAGGGTATACGGATGGTTAAAAACACGGGAGACACAGCTCAGTAATGTACTACAATCAATATCTATTCGGCCCGTAAGTACACAGGGTCGGGCGGACCTGGGCTAGGCTGAGCTTAGCGTGGCTGATCTGAGCTGGGTTGTCCGGCTGCTGGTTAATCTGGGGCGGCCTCAGCTCCGTTCATGTTTCATCCTGCCGCAGGGTCGCCGAGCATGTCCTTGGCATTGGCCAAGGGCAAGAGCAGAACAAGCCCGGCTATGCAAGCACTTCGGGCCTCTGCTTGTGTGTGGTGTCTGCTCATGTCCCGTTGGCCGAAGGAAACCACGCGGCCACCTTTAGACGGAAGGGTAGAGAAGTATGCTCCGCCTTCTGTGGGAAGACCTACAAAATCCCAGGACAAAGGGCTGGATTCAGGGGTGGATGGAGAATTGGGGCCATTAATATAACTAATGTACCACGGAGCTGGAAGGCAACCCCCTCTTCTCCCAAGGCAAAACCAGGTAATTAATAGATCCCATCCGTGGCCACAGCTTGGGAAATGGGCAAATGGAGGTGGTCCGGCTTAGTCTTGATGGCTTAGACGTCGCGTTTGGAAAAGAGAGAGGCATCCTCAAAGCATCTGTCTCCCCAGTGCTTGTCGTCTGTCCAAGCAAGTTTCCAGGGCCACCGTTTTTACAATTGACAGTCGATTTTGGTTCACTTAGGCTTGCCAGGAGTGCGGCCAAGGATTATGCATGCTGCAAGGCACTTTCAATTTCGGGGATGGGAGAGAACTCACTCGGCAGGAGTGAATGTTATTTCGGGGAATGGGCGAAAACACTTAACCAAGGCTGGACATTTCCAGCTGTCTCGCTCGGTCTCTCCCAGAAGCACCAAGCGGCCTGTGTTTTCCCGTGCTCACCCCTGCCCGTCCCCTCCAAGCCTTTGCTCATCCTGTTTCCTCTCCCTTGAAGGACCTCCCTTTCTTTTTACCTGGATGATTCCAGTGTTTAATCAGCTCATGAAATTCATTAAGCTCATTAAACTTAGGTGTCTGATTCTCAGGGACAGACCTGGGCGAGGTGAGTGAAGCACTCACCTTGGGTGCAAATTTCAGACAATATTTTAATGCATGAGCCAGGCCTGGGTCAGGGTGAAAGCAAATGAGGCGAGGTTGTGCGAATTCACCCTGGATCCCGTCTGTTCTGTATTTAAAAGTTTGCTATTTTGTCCATCATAGGTTTTTTGGCATTAATTTTGATTTTTAAAACATTGCATTAAAATGTTGTTCTGGGTTTTTGGCATTCACTTACATTTTTTGCCTGAGGTGAGGGCCTTACTCTTTCCATTCTAGACTTGGCCGTACTCAGCCTCCAGGCAACCTACTCTGAGCCTCACAGGTAAAGTGTTCTGATAAGAACTTTGATGATACCTGTGCATCACGGGGCATCTATACACTTTTATAATTTTCTGTCTCTAGGACCGTGTATTAGTCAGGATAAGTTAGGTTATGGCACAGTAACAAAAGGCCCCAAGTTGTAGTGGCTTAACACAAGGTTTATTTATCGCTGGTATTACATGGCCATCTTGGATCTGCAGGGGGCTTTCTTCTTCACAGTCACTCAGGGAGCAGCTGCCACGATAAATGTGGCCAACGTCCAGGCCAGAGGGAAAG